AACAAATTGTCAACGAATAAGGTACCTTACCTCCTAAAAAGTCTCTTTACTTAGACTACAAATTAAGGAATATCTAAACCATAATGAATAGCTCTACGTATTAGAAAAATGTATGTACTTAAACGTCTATGTAACTTCGGTCTACTAAAATACAATGAACTATCACAATCACAATGGTTATGTTTGGTTGTGGTTGAACCATCAACCACCAAACCATCAGACCTCAACCATCGATGATTCTCTTTGACCAACAGCGAGGCTACAGACATTCCCTGGAGTACATTGTTGCCCAATCATCAAACCTTCCCAATATTGCCTTTATTCTCTTCTAATGTTGCTCTTGATCACTGTTTCTTTTTCATCAAGACTTCTATATTGTTTGAAGACTTGTCAAACATGTCCTATTCATCTTATTGGTTGTAGTTCACTCTTAGATTTCATTTAACTTGAAATAGTAACTGTCTGCATATACGTTTGATAGAATTGAGTGCTTATCAATTCGAGTGATTTTCTCTGTAAAGAATAAAATATTACAGTCTTAAAATAAGACAAGCTAAAACTCCGATCGTTAAAAATAGTTTTATGTCTGTTCGCACACTCTTTTAAACTACATTAGCTAAGCAACACCTTGTTTAAACGGTCGTGTTATCTGATTTTGTTTTTTATCCACACGCCATACTTGAAAAACCCTTTATACTTTTCTTATAAGTTGTAAAAAAATATGTTGTTTTAAATAAACACGTTTTAGTCAATGTTGGATCGTAAAAAAAATTTAAAAAAATTCTACCACACAATTTTATTACTTTAATGTTGTATCAATTAAGATTATTACCAAAACATCATATTTAAACATTTACACTTTTTTATAAGTTGTTTAAAAAAAAACAATGTTGTTTTAATAAACACATTTCGGTCAATGTTGGATTTTAAATTTTTTGTATGTTCTACCACACAATTTTATTACTTTAATGTTGTATCAGTTAAGATTATTACCAAAACATCATATATAAACCTTATGAATTTAAAGCCGCGTTTACACCGGAGTTAATAACACGTGTTTTTAACAAAAAGTTATTAACATGATAAAACGAAATAATAACAACACAAATCGATGATAAATACAAAGCACACAACTAATTTCTAAAAAGTATAACTAAAAGGTTTTTAATTAAATTACGTAATATTTGTAAAATTAAATAAAACAACAAATTTGTTCAGATATTGAGTATTTTTAGTCATGAGATAATGTAATTACTAAATGCACCCACGGTTTCAACTGATCTCTTGTGGTGATTTGATTTTGAAATGAATCACGAGAAACATTTCTCTAATCAAGCCACCAAGTGATTCGAGGTGTTAAAACACGTTTATTGCTGTCTCTACCTCATTAGCAAATGGATTCTCAATTCGGGAACGAATGTTAATCATTTAAAGTAAAGTTGAAGTTTTCCTCATCAACGCCACATCTAGCCAGTGTGGGTCGGCTTTGCGTACCAAACATACTCCAATATAAATTTGTCAACTAACGATCAGCTAAAGTGTATTTATAGACGTGTATTTCCGGTGTAATTGCAGTTCTTTGTGTTATTATTGATTTTTTTCTTTAGTCACCTACAAGTAAAAAACCCCCGCCGCAGCAAACCTACAGACTAAGCGAATTTCCATTGGCCTGATTAGATTTTCACTTGACATCAAAGGGAAAAAAAATGAATTCGGTCCTGGTCTGTATTACTATGAGACTTATTCCCTGCATAGGAAATTCGCTTTAAGTACTCTAACCAAATGAAACAATCTATTACCCACCAACTATCGTTTGCTTTCCAGTAGTATATGCCTAACCGAAGTAAGAATGTTTTTAATTTCGCTTTCAAAGAAGGGAAATACACTTAGGCTTGTGGTTGTAATAATAACCATAAATATATTGGTTTGAAATTGTTTATGGGCCATGGTAAGTTCGGGTAGATCATATATCAGTGTAAAACTTATTTTTTTTGCGGGAAATTACCATCACGATTGGTGAAAAACCAAATTAGATCCCGAATCGTCGTTAAGTCGTTACTCGTGATGGTTAATAAGCGAGTTAAGTAATCAAAACTCTTGTGTACATTTACTGTACAGAAACATACATTAAAATGTGTTTATCTTAATCCATGACCAAAGTGTGGTAAATTTGTACTGCAATATTTTTGATCCGGAATAAGAAGTCAGAGATTTTTTTTTACTTCACTTGCGGTTGATGTCCACTGTACAGCAGTCTACTAGAAATGTGTACATAAACTTCACGATAAACTGCATGCAATGACATAAAAATCAATAAAAAATCAAACGGTTAATCACTGAAGAAAATACAGTAAACAATTTCCCAATTGTTTGCAAGTTTAATTTGCTGTCTTCTATCCAACATGGGAACCGAGCTTTGCTCGGGAAAATCATTAGTATGGTACTCTGAGAGTAGTCCATTCTTTGGTCAATGTCATCTATCAAAAATAATATTGTTTTGAATTGAAATCTATTAAACTTCAGATTGTAGTTGACTTTGTTTAGTAAGGCAAATTTATGATTCTCGTGTAAAACTGTATACGATTGTTTTTTATTGGTTATTCATTGTTGACAAAGTGTACACAACAATTAATATTAGGCCAAAATCATTGGGCATGTAAGTAAGCTGATTCAAATGCTCAAAAATAGGCTCATATTCTCATTCAAAGCCACGCCAATGGGAAAACTATATAAATAGACGTACAGAATTTAGGTTTTTTTTTTAATTAGCCTTAAAAAGCAATCGTATTGTGGTATCATTTTTTTTTATAATTTGATAGTGTTTTTGGCAGACGATCTCGTGTTAGCCTCTCTATTCACCCGTTTATAACCCGATTCCAGGAACGCTACTAAGCTTGTAAAGATGTAAACATCTTATTTAGAGAAGGAAACACATTCACGTTAAGTAAGGCTGACAGAACAGTAACCGATCCCAGTAGAACTAATTAATTGGAGTAGTGCGTACTGCGTAGCTGCATGACACAAACCAGGCCCGGCCTCTGACCCTTACGAGGTTATTAATAAACTGTTTACATCTCCTAACAGCTTCCCGCCTTGGTAAATAAACGTTTAAAACCGTCCCTTCCTCAGAGACTCGGCGTTCCTCGAGTGATTGATCGATTTCGATCACGTTCTTCGATAAGAGATGCGTTATAGTTTGAGTTATGCTCGATGGTCGAATTGACACAGTCGGACATGTCAGCATAGCAATCGACATTCCAAAGCAAAAAGTGGGTTTACACGCATAAAAAGACTATTGTTGTTACAGTGAAAGTTTTTCTTTTATGAAATCAAAAAATGGGTTTGAAAGAAAATGTATTAAGATTAGACTCATCTGTTAATGTTCAGACTTCGTGATGGGATAGTCATTGAAAAACCACCAAAAAAGAAGAAGAAGAGGAAGACATTGAAGAATAACAAATCATAGCTTTGATATGCTGAATAATAGCCAACATATTTTCGGTTATCGTTCTGCGTTTTACAAAAATACAACTTTGAAGTAAATCCAATATTTGAAGTAAAAACAAAATTGATGGGTACAAAGAATAATAAAAGACCCTTAATGACTTATGTATTTGGATCTATTATTTTAATGATGACGAAAATCTATTTAATTACATACAATATATATATTATTTATGTTTTTTATGAGTTTTATGAGGAAATCACAATCACTTCGAAAACCCCAGTTTTTTTCCACCAAAACCCCGAACTGGAATTTTTTTATTGAAAGCAATACTTTCTCCATGTACTCCTATTGTAAAGGGGAAAGATTAAAAATTGGAGGCCGTGATATTACGATTTCCAGTAGTAGATTTACATTTTAATACAAACTATCTTAATTAGGAAGTACAGGTATTGCAATTTAAACGTCCTTAGCTCTTGTATTTATTACACATTTCACCATTTATATTTTGCCAGTTTTCATCCACTATGAAAATTGGTGAGTTATGAAGGAGTTAGAGAGTATCTTATTAATTCTGTTAATCACTCTAATCCCCCTTGTACCCCCCTCACCAACCACGTCTATATCCCACTCATGGACTAGTCACTAGAGACCCTCATGCTGAACAATCTCCTACCCAATTAACAAGTCAATTAATTAATTGATTTTCAATTAAAAATATAATGTCTGAGTATTTAACACATTCTTTTTTCATAGGAGTGATATTTTTGGAGCTTGAATTCTGAATGAGAGTGTGATTAAATTTATAGTTTCTAATGGTCACTAAACTTACAAGAGTGTGTATTATTTTTGAATCGTTAATATTAGTATTGTAAATATCAGAACAAGCTTCATATCTTACAATGATTCTACTTGCTTGCAGTCTCCAAGTCAATGTTTTTATTAACATAGAATAGAAATCATGGTAGGTAATATAACAATTGCAAAATACAACTTAAAACATGAACGATTTTTATACGCTGCGTTTTTATAGTCGTATTTTAATAGTCCTACTGCATAATAATTTTGTTTTAATCGTAAAATAAAAAATATAAAGTAGGCCTAATGGAACTTTTTTATTTAATTAAACATTAAATAAAATTCTCATTCAATTATTAATAATGAATTACAGTATTGAGACGTACATGCAATTATTCATATTATTTATGTCACAGTTTAAGCTCACAATAATGTGATACTGGACAACAATAAAATAAAATAGGGGTTACATGTTACAAAAAGTTGAGTTATTGTCCACCGTAGTACATAGAGTAATCTGTGGCATTTTAACAAGAAACAATATAATATTATTATGTTTGTTAACACTTTTTTCGGAATTAGTACTATTCTAATAATAATCCTAAATTTTATTACAAATTTCAAACTAAAATAGAAGGGTGTGTCAGCAGACAACGCTATTCAAGATGGTCTTTGTGTAGAATTGTGGGGTGGGGCAAAGCACTTTTGACTCGCGTAGTAGGTGACGTCATGGCTTGGGTTGCCGCGTCCAGCGCTGCTGTCAAGTAAAGTGAACCAGTCGGGCGAGTTTACGAGTTGTGTGGAGAAGTGTATACCGCGGTCCTTCAGTGTCCATTTTCTCGTTTTTAGTGAAAACTTCTGAGAGAATCTGTACACTCTAGGATAATGGCGAGTGAAGAAAACAACGTTGCTGCTGAGACCAAGGAGGTCACAGAATCGGCACCTGAAACCAAGACAGAAACGAAGGAAGCTTCGGAACAACCGGCGGCGCCTGCTGCCGAGTCACAGCCACCTAAGCCCGTCGTGCGCAAAACAAATTATGAAAAAGACATTGTGTATTTGTATCAGTTTTCGCGTACACCGGTGGTTCCGTCACTCTCTCCCTATTGTCTCAAAGTTGAAACCTGGCTGAGGCTTGCTGGGCTCAAATACGAGGTAAGTTTTTTGTTAAAATTTTTGAACATGTCGGTCTTACGGACGCCGCCATTATTGTTACAGTCCCGGATAATATGGTCAAGATAGTGCATTGTGGACCAATTCAAAAGTTATTTGATGTTTTTATCGTTATAATAAATTAAACCTGGACTCTTTTGTCTTTTTATCGTTACGATATATTGTTGGGAGTAGATTTAAATGTATTAAAAGGCACTGTATCAGTTAATTTTGAATATATTTTACTGTTGCCGGCATAGAAGTCTAACCTAACTTTCTGGCTCTTTTCATAGTTAGTCCTAAACCTGTTACTTAACGTTGTTTAGGTAACCTGGCCTATCGTGTTTATAATGTTAAACAAGCAGTAATTATTAAGTTTTATGTTTAAACTTGCTCTATAATTGCTTAACTTAAAAGAGCCTAAGTTTATGCTATCGGGAGGTTGCCGTAGCCTAAGTTATTCTCAATTAGGTTCCGTACCCAGTCCTTGAGTTAGGCTTAAAATATGGATTTAATCCCTTTTTTTGTTCGCTAAACTTCATTGTCCTAAGCTACAAACGGTAGGCCTATCCGCAGGCTTGTGTACAACTTATTCTTAAGTAAGTTAACTTGTCTTAAGTTAGTTACTTATTGTTACGAACTGAATTCAGTTTAAAACAGGATTTTCTTTAACGTAAAATACAATTGAGCTAAGTTAGGTTAAAAGGTCTAGAAGTTAAGTTTTACCTATTTCTATCCTAAGTTATACCTAGTATAAGTTACAGTCACTTATCTTATGTAAGTTAATCTTAAGTTGGGAACATTCATTAACAGCCTAAAATCGAATTATTTTTTCAGTAGGCCAAGAGTAACTTAAGTTAGCTTTATATCAATAATTTTGTTTTCCTTTACGATCCATAACTTAAGTTATTCCTTGTTTTAATAGCCTATCTTCAAACGCATCTATTTTTTAAGTTAAGTTAAATTGAAAACTGATCTTGTTTAGACTCAAATAAGTTAAGCTTAAGTTAAACTTAACTAAGTTTTAAAAGTTAACGTCCCACACAAATCTTTAAGGTTTAAAAAACGCTTTTAAACTGTTAGGCCAAATTATAAGTATTTGGATTAAGAAATTAAACTGGTTTTAAGCTAACCTAACATTTAATTTAACTTAACCATACTTGCCCTAAGTTCTAGGTAAGTTACCTTTTCAAAATTCCGTTTTATAAAAGAAAAGGCGAGTGGAGAATATCAAACGGAATCTTTAACTTAAATGTTTCAGAAAGTTTGGTTGGTTATGTTGAGGAAGTTTAGAACAGTTTCATTTAAATATGGAATTTTAAAAGAATTGTTATTTGTTAGCTAGCCTAATAACATAAGTTACTGAACAACTTAAAAAAACTTGTTTATCTATCGTAGTTGTCAGCTGATTGTTTCAATGAGCGTTAACATCTAGGCCTATATATCAGATAGAATATCGATATATCGAAGAAAAAAATCATCGATGTTAATGAATGTTCCCTATTGATACGTAAATGTATGTTATGTTATGGAAAGTACCGATTTTGCATGCAAGTTTGCCTTGGCAGGTCTAGGCCTAAGTTAACTTAAAAAGTGTGCTATAATGGGGTTTTCTTGACCTGCAAGGCAAACTTGCTTATCATTTCGTTTTAGAAACACTATACTCCGCGCCAAAGCTGGTGGCGGCTGAGGGATTAGGACGGCAGGTCGGTGAGCAGGTCCGAATGTAGTCCTACCTGGCGGTCCGAATCCCTCAGCCGCCACCAGCTTTGGCGCGGAATATAGACTTCAATAGACTTAAACTTAATCGGTGTTTAAAACCACATTGAGAGCCATTTTAATGTAACTTGGACCATTAAGTTAACTAAGTTATTTTAATGTTGTATTTAAACTACCAAACTAAAGTTAAATAAGTTTCCAACCATAAAGATCCACTGACCTTTCAAAGGATTGATCCGTCAACCTTTTACCTTTTGATTACTAAGGCGAGCATTTACCGGTAATGATAGCACTATTCAGGTAGGCTAGAAAAATATCAATTTTATCTAAATAAATGTTCTTAAAGATCATCTCTGTCTAATAGCCTATTTTTATATGGAAAAAGTAGGTCCAAAAATGAAACCGGTTATTTTCTAATAGTAATTTGTATTTAGATCAACAGTTTCTAACTTCTATGGTCTAATGGTTTTATGGGCAACATGAATTTGAGAAATTATGTTTTATTAGTAGGATATATTTTGATGGAAAACTGTTGACTACATTCACAAAAAAAATATTCGATAAGCTTTTATCTTTACAAAAGGATTGAGCTTTTAAAATGTCTTTCGAAAAAACTATAAGATCAGCTGTTTTATTAGCCAGGATAATTTATTTAAAGCCCAACAAGATCAGGAACAGCTGGGTCCAATTTCAAACCATCTAATTTAAAAGCTATTAACTTTTCTCAGGATTGTTCCGGCAACCTTTTGATTGTTAGGCGAGCACTTAAACCAAGTTTCCACGCCAATTCTTTTTCTTTTTCTTAGGGTACTAACCACTCAGCTACTTAGTCACTCGTCATTTGTAAACCTAAACAGGACAGGAGACTGTGTGAGGTTGGCTTTCTGGGGATTGTAAAGGTTTTGTTATTTAACAATTTTTATAATTAATTCTGTTACCAAAGTGATTAGAGAGTAAGTACATCGGGGCTAGAGCCTACCTATCTTGTCATGGAGGTTTTTAAAACAAAAGGTTAGAAAAAAAGAAAAAAAAATGTATGGAAACTTAAGCTTAAAGTGATTAAAGTGTTCGCCTAACAATCAAAAGGTTGGATCCTGAAAAAAGTCAGTACCTATAGCTTTTGATTGGAAGTCAGACCCAGTCTGTTGGTGATCATTAGGCTTTAAAATAAATGATCTTGATTGATGAACCATCTGATCTAAGACACTAACAAAGCTACACCGATCACCTCACACCATTCTACGACACACAATTCACTCATATTTGGGTTAAAATACACATCTAGGTGACGTCATAATCTTAAATAATTGATACACTGTGCCTTAAGGCTACATTCATTAAATGTTATCCCTAGCGTCAAATGATAAATATAGGCTTACAAAGAAATTTGTATTTTCAACAGTTGCACTTCCACCCTGGTATCTATTTCTGGTGGTGGTAGGGTAGATGATTGGAGGAGGTTATGGATGGAGTCATATGACATTGTCACCTACATCACATTGATCATTACCCCTATTGGGAACATGAGCCTATGTGCTATAAATCAGCCCTGAGTGACTTATTAGGGTGTAACTTAGTGTCAAATTTGTCCCCTTGGGCCTTGGCCCATTATGAGATAGGAATCAGGGGAGTAAAGCCCAATGTACTGTTCAGGTTTTAATTTGTAGAAAACTTCCTACCAGCATATTTTTTAAAAATTTAAATCACTAAAATCTGTATGTGTCACACGTAGCAATTTTGGTAAGTGGTACCATGACCATGTTCTAATTATTTTTTTGTAGTCATTCCTCTGCGTGTTATGAAAGTGATAAACATTTGGTAAACATCTTGGATAAAACACCTTCCATTGTTTTGATCGGGAGTTAAGACGAAGTTCAGTCAATTCTTAGCTTTCTCTGATACATAATAACTTTAACGTGTTTATTAATTTAAATGTAATTAGGAGACCCGTGCGAGAATTACACAATTTAATATCTAAATGATATTTAATGATCTCTTTGTTTTCGCATGTTTAGTCATGTACTCAGTTAGGCCCCGTCCTAGCTGGACGGCAAGAGCGACGCGACCGACGCGACCATTGGCCGCTGTTGTCGGCGGCAAAATGTGTGTCCACACTGAGCGGTGCGACAAGGCGACGCGTCATAGAATGAGGCAGCTGTTTTGGGTGCTGATCCGTCGCGTCGCCGGTGTAGCGCTACCAAATACAAACATGTTTGTATCTTGAAGCGCTTGTAGCGCGACCGACAAGAGCGGCGCCGCTGTTGCTGCTCAGCTAGGACACTCCCATTACTTAACATGTGTTTGTATCTGTCGCTGTTGTCGGTCGCGTCGGTCGCGCCGCTCTTGCCGTCCAGCTAGGACGGGGCCTTATTCTCCTCCACGGTGCGTTGTAAGGCCACAGGCGCATGCGTTGTCCAGCTGTGACGAGTCGGCGCATGTTTACTAGATGCGCAGTTGGACGGTGTTAGGAATGTGTCCTTGGTGCAGACTGCAGAGTGCATCATGGCGGAAGCTCCAGTACAACTTGCATAATTCATCCGATACACATTGCACATTTTTTACATGCCTTGGAGACTTTGTGTCGCAACTGTAAATATTTGTTTCTTGATATTTATTCCTTGTGAAGTAACGCCTTAATTACTATGCAGGACTGTTGTTGTTTATCATATGGGCTTCTAAATGCGTTTCCACATGTGACCTGCATCTTTGACCATTGATGAGCTGCTATAAATTTCATCCCCATGTCAAAATTTAGTTGAAGTGGGCCACTGACAGATTGCGCTGATATAAATTACTGATTTCTGTCTATGATAAACAAAAAAATAACCAAGTTATTTGGCAGAAAGACTTATTGTAATCTATAGCTGACTCACAAAACTACTAAAAAAATTAGAGAACACTGTTCTATATCATATGTCGCAGTGACTGGCAGTGAGAGATTTTTTAATGGCCCTACCCTTAGCTATAGATATTTCTGCATTTCTAACCTATGTTTCCCAATTTCGAAGTAGTTTTCCTTGTAGATTATTTGGCGTTCCTAGAAGTTGTTGATTTTGCCGCGTGACTGCACCGGCCGACTCTAGCCTAACCCCTGGTATTGTTAGGACTCTCCCCCGACCCCCAGGCTACTCCGGAAGTCTACGGGGTCGAGACAATAGAGTCGCAGTTTATGGAAGGCGTGGCGACTACAGTGAAGAGTTTGGAATGTGGAAACGACTGTTATATTACCATCGCCGATGAATGAGGCTATTTGTAACTCGCTTTCGTGGAATTTGTTCCATGAA